ACTGCATGCCAAATCAAATTCTGATGTAGTGCTTGACATAACTGCTATTCTTAGGTCAGGGATATTCTTAGGATAAGCTCTCAACAGACATTTTCTTGTTGTTGTTGGACTTTTTTTTCCAATTTTTAAGTTGGAAATATGTACCACATGTTCAGTGGTACATGTGCAGAATGTGCAGGTTTGTTACATAGGTAAAAGTGTGCCATGGGTTTGCTGCACAGATCAACCCATCACCATTAAGCCCGGTATCCATAAGCTATTCTTCCTGATGCTCTCCCTCCTCCCACCCCAGTGTATGTTGTTACCCTCCACCCACGTGTCCATGTGTTCTCATTATTTAACTCACACTTATAAGTGAAAACATGCAGTATTTGGTTTTCTTTTCTTGTTTTAGTTTGCTGAGGACAACAGATGTTGGCAAGGTTGTGGAGAAAGAGGAATGCTTTTGTACTGCTGATTGGGGTATAAATTCAGTCATTGTGGAAGACAGTGTGGTAATTTCTCAAGCCTAGAGGTGGAAATAGCATTTGACCCAGCAATCCCATTACTGGTTATATACCCAAAGGAATATAAATCATTCTATTATAAAGATACGTGCACATGTGTTCATTGCAGCACTATTCACAATAGCAAAGACATGGAATCCACCTAAATGCTCATCACTCATAGACTGGATAAAGAAAATGTGGTACACATACGCCATGGAATACTATGCTGCCATAAAAAGGAATGAGATCATGTTTTTTGCATGACATGCATTTCTTTATTGTTAATTCAACAAAAAATGAAAAATAAAATTTTATTTATAAATATCAATTTTCTCATGTTAACATTTTAATAATATAAGTTAAATTTTTGTTGTAAAAATTTATGGGTTTTGACAAATGAGTATCATCATGTATATACCATTGCAGTATTATACGTAAGAGTTTTACTTTCCTAAAATCCCGTGTTCCACCTGTCAACTCTTCCATCATACTCCAGGCTATTTGCCAAGTCTATAATTATGCTTCTTCCAGAATGTCATAAAAATTCAATCATATAGTACATAGTGTTTTCATACTGGCTTATTTCACTTAGGAATATGCTTTTTCTTTTAATTTTTTTTAGAAATATGAGGTCTCACTATGTTGCTCATGCTGGTCTCAAACTCCTGGCCTCAAGGGATTCTCCTGCCTCGGACTCCCAAAGTGCTGAGATTAGAGGCAGAAGCCACCATGCCCAGCCAGTGATACTCATTTAAGATTCATCTATGTCTCTGTGTGGCTGGAAAACTTATTTATATTTGTCATAGAATCATATTATATTGTAGGCATGTCACAGTTTATCCATTCACATAATGAAGGATATCTTGGTTGTTTCCAGTCTTGCTTGTTTCCAGTTTTTAGGGCTGTGAAATTCAACATCTCCATAAGGATCTTTTTTGGTAAATTTAAGTGTTCATATCAGTTGGGTAAATACTTACATGCTGGATCCTATTGCAAGGCTATGTTTAGCTTTGGAAAAGAACTGGCAAACTCGCTTCCACAGAGCTTGTACCATATTTGCACTTGCACAGCAATGAAGAAGTCTCATCCATTGCTCCACATTGTGACCTGAAATTGGCATTGTCAGTATTCTGGATTTCAGTCATTCTAATAAGGGTGTAATAATCATCTTTGTTTTTAAAAATCATCTTCACCGGGTATAGAATTCTATGTTCATTTTTTTAAAGATGTTTTGAAGATGATGTTTAAAAAGCAATGTTTTTAAAAGATGATGCTAAAAAGGATAATAAAGATAATTTAAAGAATGTTACAGAGTGTTCTTGTTTACATTTTTTTCTTACAAAAAATCTGCAGTAATCCTTATATCTCTTCTTCTGTGTACAAATGTCTTTTTTTTCTAGATCATCTCAAGATTTTATCTTTATCACTAGTTTTAAGCACTTTAATTATTATGTTTCTGGGTATAGGTTAGTTTATATTTTCTATGTCTGGGGTTTGTTGATCTTCTTTAATAGGCAATTGTAAAATTTTTATCAAATCTTTAACATTCAAAGTTCAAAAAGTAAAATATTTGGCTTTGGCAACATTGTAATGCAAAATTCATTGGGTTTATCTCAAATTAAAAGACTTTATAAATTATGTATCACACTTCTATCATGACAGAAACACCAGGGTTCTCAATCAGTGGGCAATGAGAATTCATCAGGTAACATGGCGGCATGGGCGGTAGCAGATGGTTTCTTCACTCCATGAGGAAAGACAACTGTCTAATCTTGAGAGTTTTTCAAATAAAAGCTCTGTATGCAGTTTTCCCCTATTCTTAGGACACTGTGTTATGATGTGTCACTTCAGGCACACTGCTTATGCTCTTAGGTTGGCCTCATCGAGTCACTGCACAACTTAGAGGAACATTCTTCATATCGCAGAATTTTAGGAAATAGTTGTTCTTGTTACTGGGCACTTTTTGGAGCTGCCCTTTTTAGGATTTTCATCTGCATAGGTGGAAGGATTAGTATGAAGGTATTAAATGAACAAAGTATAACTTTAACAAACAGGAGCAACTTTTTGCCTGGATTCAATTGCAGATGGGATCTAGAATAAAATCAAGGAACCATGGTATAAAATAAGCAATCAGAATACCCATGGTTAAAGTTAACATATTGTAAAGGTTATAGGTAGAAGCTGTTGTCAACAAATGAATCTTGATTGAGATTCTGGCTCTGTCATATACTGGGTGTGTTGGAGTGAAGGGCTTCAGTAAAATAATAGTACCTTGCTAATGGAGTTAGCCTGTTTAATCACTATTACAATGTCTGAATGAAATGCTGCAGGTTTAAATCCTCTCAGCAAATTGCCTGATATACCTTGATCCCTCAAAAAGTAGTAGTTATTATTTATTAGACAATGTGGTTGAAGCTACAATTGACAGAATGCAAAACCTTTGCCAGTAGGTTCCATGATTCTGATGCAGTATACATTATTTTTTAATCCAAGAATCTAGAAATTGGCAAAAAGAAGAATGGAGTCAGACCTGAAAGAAAAGCCAGGCCGGGCACAGTGGCTCAAAGGAGGCTGAGGCGTGTGGATCACAAGGTCAAGAGATCAAGACCATCCTGGTCAACATGATGAAACCTCGTCTCTACTAAAAATACAAAAAATTAGCTGGGCATAGTGGTGCGTGCCTGTAATTCCAGCTACTCAGGAGGCTGAGGCAGGAGAATTGCCTGAACCAGGAGGCCGAGGTTGAGGTGAGCCAAGATCGTGCCATTGCACTCCAGCCTGGGTAACAAGAGCGAAACTCTGTCTGAAAAAAAAAAGAAAGAAAAAAGGAAAAAAAGAAAAGCCAAGAAACCAAAAGAATACTGTGGATGTTAACCAGCCCAAAGAAAAGAAGAAACAGTAATAGAGCTGGAATACATAGGATTCTGGGAACCGTGGAGATGAAGAACAATAGTGAACAGGAATGGAGGAATAAAGGTCTGAGGAAACTGTCAGGCACTGGTGATTGTAGGAAAGTTTCCTCATCTATAAATGGATAAATTTGATTAATAAAACACTGCTCATGGGAATTACAATAAGATTAAATAAGTAACTATCCATATGAACATTCAGCACAATGGCAGACAGAGAGTAGACCTAGTCAAGGTCAGCTATTACTATATCATAATGATGGTATTGGGTAGGTCATGGACATCTTCTGCAGTTAACACTTAGTCATACCTGACACAGGCCTTAAGGCAATAGAAATTACAAATGAGTAAATGTGGATTTGAAGACACTAAAAGAAGCACTGTTGGCCGGACGCAGTGGCTCAAGCCTGTAATCCCAGCACTTTGGGAGGCCGAGGCGGGTGGATCATGAGATCAAGAGATCGAGACCATCCTGGTCAACATAGGGAACCCAGTCTCTACTAAAAATACAAAAAATTAGCTGGGCATGGTGACACATGCCTGTAATCCCAGCTACTCAGGAGGCTGAGGCGAGAGAATTGCCTGAACCCAGGAGGCGGAGGTTGTGGTGAGCCGAGATCGCGCCATTGCACTCCAGCCTGGGTAACAAGAGCGAAACTCCATCTCAAAAAAAAAAAAAAAAAAGCACTGGAATGAAAAAGCGGAAGACTAGAGAGAAAAGGACCATAATGCATAAACATTATGTTAGTGTTCACGGGATCAACTGTGGCTGGATTGTTGATTCTGTCTAAACCTTTTGGAAATTAGCATGTATTTTAAGTCTGCTTCCTTTGCTCATCTGGAGTTTTCGCTTATTTCTAGCCTCAGGAGAAGCTTTTGTGACCATAAGAATACTGAAAGAAAAATTAAACAATTAAAATTATTACTCCCACTTAATAGAAGAGTGAGGTTTGGAGATATCTAGGGATTAGTTCATAGTCTCCTAGCTCATGAGTGATGACTAAGGTTTGAACCCAGTCATTTTCCCTAAATGAGCTCCTATTCCATTCTGCCTTGTTGCTATATAAGGAGCATGTTAGATATTTAAACATGAAGGTGGTAACCCCCATAAAACTGAACAGCAGGACAGATGTTGTTTGCTGGAGGCTGAGCCAGATCTGTCTATGAGTGCCAAATTGCTGTCTCAGCGCTGCTGCTGATGCATAGTCTGCTCTCCTGCCCCAGGCACTAGGAGCAACAGGGGGCACCTTCCGTACAGCACAAAAGTCCCCTAAGCTGTAGGAGGCATAGCCATGTGACTCCACTGAACTTGCTTTAATACTTAAGCCACGTGCAGCTGGGACAAGGGTCTAGCTTTGGTCAGGATGAACTTAGGGGCTGCCTACAGAGTCCACCTGATGTCTAGGTCCAGACAGTGCCTTCATGGCAAATGTATTTTTCAGTTAAGCAAATTCTGAGTAACAACGGAATTTACAGTTTTTATATTTTATTAATGAATGAGCTTACATGAGATATTGAAGGCGATCCATGAGCATATGCATATTTATGTCATGAAAGCACTTTGGGTTTATTTGTATCTTAGTACTGCAGAGGCACAGTTGGTATCTGGCACTTTAAAACAAGCAAAATGAAATCCTTTTCTTTTACAATTATATAAAGCTAACTTACGAATCAGGAAGTTACCCTGCAAATCATCTCATCTACTATTTTTATAAATGAGATGACTGATGTCTCGGGGCACCAGTGGAACTTGGTTGTGGTCAAAAGCTGACGAGTATAGCAGCCTGGATCTGCCCCATGATGCCTGGACTTGGGCTTCTCCACCCTTTTGTGTCTGGTAAGAGCCACATACATATAAAGTACCAGTTCTCTATTTTTCATCTTTCCTTTTGTTTTTGTTCCTGTTTCATTGCTTTATTATCCAATTCAATTCATAATTTAATAATTTTCCCATTCTTTATCTCTTTATGTACTTTGTTCATTTTCTCCCCTTTATATAGTGTGTTCAATCTGTAAAAGCTTTGTTTGTTTTTTCTGTTTCCAGTGCTTATAAAATGGAAACTCAGGATAAGTGTCTTGGCTAATTTTAAACAGCTATCCAGAAACATGTTAAAACTTCTTTTGCTATCCATCTTATATATTGATTTACTTATGGCTGTACCACATTTTCTTTTCTTTTTTTGAGACAGAGTCTGGCTCTGTCACCTAGCCCAGGCTGGAGTGCAGTGGCACGATCATGGCTCACTGCAGTTCACCCTTCCCTGTTCAAGGAATCCTTCCACCTCAGCCTCCCAAGAAGCTGGGACTACAGTCCCATGCTACCATGCCCAGCTAATTTTTCTATTTTTTTGTAGGGATAAGGGTTTGCCCTGTTGCCCAGGATGATCTCAAACTCCTGGGCTGAAGCACTTTATCCACCTCAGCCTCCTAAACTGTTAGGATTACAGGCTTGAGCTCCCAGACCCAGCCCATTTTTTTTCAATATAGTTAACACTATGGGTCATGACCTTCATATTACTGGTAGTATGACAGTGCTATACTATATATAGCATGAGTACTTGCGTCTTCAAACTTCTAAAATTTTAAAAGAGGAGCTCACACAAATTTCACTGGTGGGATGTTATGTTAACTAGTTTCAGCATTTCCGAGGGAGAGATTTTATTGTGATGCCTCATAAAATAATTACTATCCAAATTTTAAAAAGCATAAAAGTACATTTTCAACAACTACTGACACATGAATGAGCAGACATCACAACATTAGCACATCTTTCTCAATTTACATATTCTTTGAAAATCTCATTTACTGAGTTTCTTTATGTCTTCAGTTACCAAGCACTACCTTGATTAGCCTAGATTAATCAAAATTTCTTTAAGGAAATTGATCAGTTAAAAGTCTTTCTGATGTAATCTGTCAAGCACACGTGATTCAATCCTATGGTATGTACTTAACTTAGGCTTTCCTGGGCTCATCTTCTTCATAGATACCCCCATGAGACTCCGGATATGCCTAGGCAGGCTGCTGGCAGTGTAGGTTAGCAAATTTTTTATTTGCTTAAGGGTATAATGAATTTCATGAATACTGAATGAGTTTAGACCAATGGCTGAAAACAAAGGTTAAGTCCATTGTACCAGACTGTGGTATTTAAGCTACTTTCCTCATCACACCCACTTCTAAGGAATCTACCTGTCCTTCAGTCCATAGATAGCCTTTCTTTTACTACGTTACCCATGTTCTTCACTTTTTACAGCTATTTGAACCAAAGATGAGCACTTCATGCAAAAGCAATGAAATAAAGCCCAGACGATGATTTTTGACTTGACATGAAGAAGCGAATGTGGTTAATCACAGTTTTCTTCAAGAAATCTGAAGTAAAAAATTTTGAAAGAATTAGTTCATATGTAGGGGGATAGGTAAACATATGAAAATACAAGACTGATACCTTGTCCTCTTCCATGTGAATAAGTATGTTTATTATTTAGTGTAATCATAAAAAATATACTTTGAATTCAGGAATAAACTTCAAAATAGAACACACTATCTAATATTGACTCCCTAAATAAATAATGTCTATACCCCTTTCCTATATATTTCTGATTCCCTAATCAGAAATATAACATAACAATCCTTATAAGTATAATAATTATAAGCCACAAATTCTGTTTTCCTACCAATGATCAAGCTATTTGTAATTTTCTTTTTCATTAGAATCACCATGTGCTTTTCATTCTGAAAGCCCAGTTTATCTGATGCCTGGACTCTTTCTATAGCAAACATTTCAAGTAAACATATTTTATTTTTATTTTCATGCTCAACATTTTTTTTGTTTACTTTTTTTTAGTACAAAGATCATGAGTAAGGGCCCATGAAATAAACAGAGTTTATGATTCCCCAGTCAATTTTAGTTTTAGCCCACATGTTTCCTTAAAATCAATATCCTCTTTTGGGGAAAAAAAAAGATGACATTTCTTACAACTAAGAAAGAAACTAAAACATGTCATAGTAAATTGAGACGTCCTGATCGTCCTTAACATTGACAGGAGTGTATGGAATTCTCTTGCTGTGGGAGACCCTCAGCTCACCTGGCTGAGCATCAGGAGGGAGCACTATGGCGTAGGTGTACTTATGTAATCTTCTTACCAAATTTCCTAAAAACGTATAGCAATGCTTTCTAAACACTGGTTCCTGGACCAGAGTCCATCTGTAATGATTTTTCTAAAAATGAGAAAAATTTGTTTTTAGTTACTTTTTATATAATAAAACGTATTAAATTTGAAAAGATGTTCTTCATGTAAATATCTCCTCCTTTCTATATTCTGGAGTTCAAAAATCCCTTCTTTTTTGAAAAGATAATATTAAACAGTGTTTCTTTCTCAAGATCTTAAATTTGCTTAGTAAAATACTGGCCACCATATGTTAATCCAAATGTACATTTTAAATTTTACTAGAAAATTCATCATGGAGACTACTGAAGTAGAATCAAGACCTGCTGGAAAAATAACCATGTGTTGAACCGGGAAGCCATACAGAAGCCAAAGGTAAGGCCAAGAATGATCACAGGCCCTACAATGAGCTTTGGTATAGCCAAGGGTGTCATGGCTTCTCCAGAGCTAAAGGTCGGTCACCTTGGGAGCTCACAAACAGGAGGAGGAATATGAGGGCCAAAGTTTCAGTGATTTTGCTGAAAGAGTAGTTATCCAAGAATACTGTTTATTACCATGACTACAGCGTTACTGAGAGACATTTCAGGAGAAAGGAAAGAGTTTTGCTTTCTGCTTCCAGTGTGCTTCTTGTGCAGACTCCTGCTAAGTCACGCAGCTTCTCCAGGTTGAGCTCCTGTCACACACAAAAGTGGGTGTCTCCTGGTCTGTGAAACCCAGGAAAGAGGGATTTTTTTTTTTAAGCACAAAGAAATTGGACAATAGACTTAAAGTTAATGAGATTCATGGAATCCTGTGAACGTCCCCTCTTTTGTACACTTGAATATAGTTTCACTTTTCTACCTAGGCCTATGGTTTCTAAACCTGGATGGATATTAGAACACCTAGGAGATTTATATAAACACCAAAAGAGCACTGTGATGAGTCTGAAGGCCTTGACCTTCTCCATGGTGTGCCCTTGTGTAAGCCTCTTCATTCCAGTTTCTCATTACAAAATGAAGTCACTGGAATAAATGATCTCAAAGCTTCCTTTTAGCTCAGATGTTCTGCAATTCTGTTCTTTTACACCACATCTACTTTTCCCCCCAAAAGGAAATGACATGTCTTGATTCCAAGATGGAAAGACGAAGTTAATTTTTAATATATTTCCATTCATTTAAATTTTGAATTAAAAAAAATGAAACAACTCAAGTGCCTGGTTTTTATCGTAAAGCGGAGATCGCAAAGAATTAGAGTATCCTTTTGCTTCTTTTGTGGGGAGTTGTGGCCATAGTTCACTGAAGGACAGCAAAGTATCTTTGTTGGCACACCCAAAGGACTTGCTGGAATTACAGAAGTTGCCAGAAAGCTGTTCACTGGGAAATGTCTCATCAGAAGCATTCTGCTACAAAACCACTTGAGGAGATTGTGGGAGGAAGCTGCTGGTCACTAGGAGTTGCTGGCTGCTGTGCACTACGGGACCCAGACACCAGAGAAAGGAGAGGTCCTGCTGGGGAAGTTTTGTGTGAGACAGGAGCTCAACCTGGAGAAGCCGCATGACTCAGCAGGAGTCTACACAAGAAGCACACTGGAAGCAGGAAGCAAAACTCTTTCCTTTCTTCTGAAATGTCTCTCAAGCACTCTCTACTACCAAAATTTAGCATTGTGTTTGCTAGTAGAGAAAAAGTATTTAAAGGCCCCAGATCCACGTTCATAAAGCCAGCTAAAAGAGTTAATTAGAAGCTGAGATGCCATAAAGTTGATAACAGCACAAGCTTTTTGAGGGAGACAACATGTCTGACTGTTCCTACGTTCTTCTGCCTGGAGAACAAAGGGATTGCAGAAGGTTTGTGGAACCTGCCCTTACTGTGCACATCAATTGTTCTGTGTGGGTTGTCCCCAAAGTCCCCACTATGGGAGACTGGTCCACGCTCTGGGTTTTCCTTTGATTTCCAACATGTACCCTGTCTTCCCCCTCTTCCTAGCTTACCACTGGAACTGGTCTCCGGCTGTGGGTTTCTGACCTTGGAATAGTTTCCTCCAGACACTTCCTCAGTATTCTTTGATTCCACAGACTCTAAAATGGGGAGAAATTCACAGAACTGTGTTTACTTTACTTTTTTCAGTAAACTGTGTTTACTGAACTGACCCTAAGGAGAATTGAAAATAGCTGAGTGTATTTTGTCATTGCTTCTCATGAGAGATTAACAGCTTTCAATGTTGGTTGTTTAGCAACTTTCCTTAAGCAGAAAAGCCAAAGCATAGAAAAGTATCATCAGTGCCACAGTCCAATGTTTCACAAGGATAGGAAAAGTGGCGGTTAGTATTTTGGCAATTTGATTTTAGAGCATAGAGAAGCACAGACATGGTAAATGGAAGCAGTGTATATTGAATGTGTTTTTTTTCTTCTTCATCTAGAACTTCATATTGTCACCTGCATATTGTAAATGATGTTCTGATTGGAGCTACCAAGGGCCCTAGAAGCAGAAAGTACCATCAGTCCCAAGCTTTGTTCTGCATAGGAACAGGTGTTATGAAGTATTGAATGGAGAAATCTCAGCTGCCCCACAGAGGGCCCCATGGAAGAAGAAAATTTTAAATATGCCAAGCTCCAGAGTTATCCTTCCTCTCTACAGGTCTTGAAAATAAATCACATTGAAATCATATTGGCCTGTCCAATGTTGATAAAAATCTCAGGGGTAACTAAGTAAAAATGCCAGTCGGTTGGAGTGGTGACTCACGCCTGTAATCCCAGCACTTTGGGAGGCCGAGGCAGGCAGATCATGAGGTCAGGAGTTTGAGACCAGCCTGGCCAATATGGTGATACCCCATCTCTACTAAAAATACAAAAAAAAATAAATAAATAACCGGGCATGGTGGCATGTGCCTGTAGTTTCAGCTGCTTGGGAGGCTGAGGCAGGAGAAGTGCTTGAACCCAAGAGGTGGAGGTTGCAATGAGCCAAGATTATGCCACTGCACTCCAGCCTGGGCAATAGAAGGAGAATTTATCTAAAAAAAAAAAAAAAAGGCAAGCCAAGACCTTTCTGTTGCCTATTTATTTAAACTATTACCAATCTTGGGGCTGGTTTGCTAAACATTTTTCTGTATGTGTATGTATGCATGTACATGCATATTTGTGCCCTATTTTATTAGAAATTTAACATTTTGATCTTTTATAATATAACTTTTTTCTACAATTATAATGATAGTGTATCATAATCATAAACACTTAAGGAAATATAGAATAACAAAAAGAGAAAGATTAAAGTCCCACCTTGAACAGAATTTCATTTGAGAGGTCTCTAAGTACAGACATTCACTATTTTGATGAGAAACAGGAAGAAGAGATAGGGTCACTACACATTCCCTTGTTTTTGTGTCTTTTGATCTTTGTCACTTCCCTGTAATGCATCCAACTCTTCCCAAGTTTCAGCCAAGATTCAATAATTTTAAATCTGACCTCTTAACTTTTAACTTGTTTTAACATCTGAATGCCCATTTCTTTTCCACATATATAAGGGATGAGTTGTATTTTTTTAGATGTGCTTGTTGGATGAAGATGTCTTTAGATATTCATTACAGGACAAAGTGAGGGCCTTGGATTTCCTCCAGGGCATTGAGGCAAAATGACCACAAAGCTAGTTTTCCAGATGAGGCTCTTCAGAAGGAAGCAAGCAGGCACACACAAAAGGCTCAGTCAAGGAGGACTGCACTGCAGAATAGAGAAATAGCAGTTAATAAAACAAAATGCCATCAGAAAAGTGTTCATGATCTGAAGACCAAACTTTTATGGTGCAGACAATCTGATAGAGCAGGTACAAATTCCTACTTCGCCACTGACCAGACTTGTACACCTGAGTAAGTTACCGAACAACTTGTTACCTTTATTTGTGCATAAGTGATGAGGGTTGTTAAGTATACCTTCTTTGCTGGATTATTTTCAGAACTACTACTCATTATTAAAAATCTAGGCAAACTCCTGGTGCTGAAGCACAGGAGATACTTGATAAGCACTGCTCCCGCATCTCTTCTCCCTTGCTGCTGATTTATAATCTTGTGGTGTCTGACATTGAGAGAAAGTTACTTTTGAAGTCATTTTTTTCCTTAATTTTTTTTTATTCAGTATGTGCCTGCCTCTCGTTTCCTACCTTAGAGTTTGTAACCCCAGGTTAGCAATACTGAAGGTGTTGCTATGGCTACCGCTATACTGTGACTTCAGGTGGTGAGAAAGCTGCAGGAGGCAGAGTCTGTGCTTTCATGCAGATGTCCTCAAGACAGCAGAGAAGGAAGGGTAAGCTTTGTGAAGGTGCTTGGCTGTGAAATTCTGGATATGAGTGGGCAAGGATTGGCGTCACACCTGCAATGTGAGGTCTGGGCATGTCAGACACAGACAACATACTCCCTCCAGCATCAGGCCCCTGCACATGAGCAAGCGTCTCATTCCAGAGACTCAAACACAAATTCGCATTTCCCTACATTTTTGTCTCTTTTTGTAAATCTCTTTTCTATTTCCACCTAGGCATCCTTTTATTCCTTCCTTTAAAACAGGTTCTCCTTGATTTTATTCTCAGGAAAAAAAAGGTCAACACCCTTTTTCCTTTAACTAAAGTTGCTTATTGAATTGATTCAGTTTATAGAAGGCAGCAACATCCAGGCACTTTGCTTTTCTCCCATGTCATCATGAGATATTCATCCCTCCACTTTTTGTCCAGATCTCATTGGCAATTTTTCTTTATTTAGCTTTACTAAGGTATAATTGGCAAATAAAAAGTGTGCATATTTGAGGTGTACAATGTGATGTTTATATATATATGTATGTGTGTGTGTGTGTGTGTGTATACACACACATTGTGAAATGATTTCCACACTTGAGCTAATTAACATATCTATCACCTCATGTAATTACCATTTTTTGCATGTGTGATGAGAATACTCCAGAGCTACTCTCTTAGTAAATTTCAAGTACTGAAAACATTATTATTAACTGTAGTCACCATGCTGTACATTAGGTCTCCAGAATTTATCTTAGAACTGAAAGTTTGTACCCTTTGGCCAGCATCACTCCTCGATCCCTGATAACCACTGCTTTACTGTTTCTGTGAGTTCTACCTTTTTACATTCCCCACATAGGCGACATCACACAGCATTTGCCTTTCTGTGTCTAACCTATTTCACTTAACTAATGTTTCCGGTTCATCTATGTTGTCATAAATGGCAGGACTTCCTTCTTTTTGAAGGTTGAATAGTATTCTATTGTGAATATACACACGGCAGCTTACTTATCCATTTTCTGTCAATGGACACTTAGGTTATTTTCAAATCTTGGCTATTGTAAGTTACACTGCAGTGAACTTAGGAGTGCAGATTCTTCTCAAGGTGCTGACTTCATTTTCCTTGGATATATGCCTAGAAGTGGCATGGCTGGATCATATGGTAATACTAGTTTTAATTTTTTGAGGAAACTCCATACTGCTTTCCATAATGACCATATCAGTTTATGTTCCCACCAACAACATATAAGGGTTCCTTTTCTCTGCACCTTTGGGGAAATGCAATTCAAAAGTACATTGAGATATCACCTCGTACCTGTTAGCATGGCCATTACCAATTGTCATTCCAACCTGAGACCACATCAGTCTACAGTTTAACAGAATGAACTTATTAATCCAGTCAAAATCCTCAATAAGAAAGGCAAAAATTATGCATTAATTACTTCTCCAAGCTCTGCACTTGTCATTTAACATACGCTGTATCATTTCATCTTCCTAGCTATCCTATGGAATAGTTGACATTTCCTCATTTTACAGAGGTAAGTACTTTGCCTGAGGTCACAGAGTAAGTATCTGAGTCACTATATACTGATATAGTGCCTGATAGTATGTAATTGCAAAGCCAGCCCTCATTCTTTCTGTTTAGTTGCCTTATAGTGACATAGACATATTGCATTCAGCGCAAAACATTGCATCTATGTAAAAGAATACACAGCATTAAAAGCTACCAGTTATAACCGGCCAGTAGTGTGTCTGACAATTTTTTTTAAGTCAGTACAGTATTCATCACTGTAACCTATTTTCAGAATTGCTAGTCTTTGAAAAATATGTATCTAGGGAAGCAAAGGAAAGAACTGATGTTGCCTGTGGCATTTCATGTAGAATGCATAGTATTATATTCCTCAGCTCCCAGAAAATGAATTCCTGTCTTTTTCTCACTTCTTAGAAGGTTTGGTCACTATTCAATATAACTGAGAAAATGTGCACGTTATCCTATCCAATCTAATGCTCTCCTTCTGCATTGAGAAATAAGGAGGCAAAGGCATGCTAGAAATAAAATGGCCTTTAGACCATGAATAATCAGGGTATGATCCTAGATACTTTCAGCAACCTCATGCAATTCTTCATCTTTATAAGAGGTGGCCATGGCTCTGTTTTTGCAAGGGTGGATGTCATGCCTGTGATGTGATGTCTGTGCATATCAGGACAACCCTATGTGATATGTTCCCTGTTATATCAGGCTCATCCAAATAAACGATAACTATGTTCTGGTGTCTCAAGCAAAAATTTTTTCTGGTATTTCTGTCTCTATTTTCGGTCTAATCCCTATTTCCAATCATATATCCCTATTACTATTATAAAGATTCAGTGAAAATACATATTTAAAGTTCCTAATAATTTATCTGGCACATAGTAGATGCTCAACAGAATGAATTTCCTTGTCCTTGTTCTTTTCCATTTCAAAAGGGAAAGCCACCTACTCTGGTTTTGGTACAGGCCACTCTTGTGTTTTTGACAAATCCATTATTCACAGACAATCGCTCTGTTAGAAGTTCAGGAAAATCAGCATTAATTCAACAAAATGGCACTCTAATATCATTTTCCTGTGGGGTTTAATTATTTAATAAGCTTACAAACACCATATACGAAAGGGAGCAAATAGAACAAATCAGGATCTTGGCACTTTAAAACCTCACAGCCTGGCTGGGGAGAGAATGACCCAAGAAAGAGTGATAAATGTGGAGTAAGGAGTGTTGAATCTGACCTGGGGACTCCAGATTAGAACCCCAGAGTCATAAAGAGTGTGGAAAGTCTCTCTAACTCCAGGCCAAGTGAAGAGGTGATGATGGCATTGAACTCTCCACAAGAGTTAAAGACCTGTAGTTCTTCTAGTTTCCAAGATGAGCTGAAGCCTCAGTCCCTAAAGATAAAACCAAATCTTTACCATAGAAGCCTGGTAGCAATCACCTTTCTCTCTAGTGGTTATAACCAAAGACAACCATTTCCAGGAGTTAGCTGATTAAAAATATTAGTCCCTAATGAACTGTATTTCAATATTAGATGTGAGCATTGGGATCTCTGTGTAATACACGGGAGCAGAGAGGCTTCATCTACACTCTTATGCTGCATTGACATGGTTCAGTTTAAGATACAAATTAGGCAAATGTCTGAGTCATTTGAGAAACCAAACCAACTTAAACTTATGGGTCAAGTTTTATTGGGCTGGGCAGGCTGCCCCAGTAGTCTACACCAACTGTCAGAGGAAAGGATAATTCACCTTCACTTCCAGAGGCTTCCTCTGATTCTTCCAAGAAGGAAGGCTCTCCATGGTGGGGAGCTCTGTGCTACTATAGAGACCCAGGCAATGTCTTCCTTAGGAATCGCTGCTGAAACTATGAGGTATCTTGGCTAGTTTGTGTTTCCTCTCTACTACCCAAGTTTAGAGAAGACAAACATTGGAAATGAAAGAAAGGAGTAGACCTTCATTCAGCCCACATTTGGGGTCAGACACTGTTCTGTGTGCTTATCTCCAACTGTGCTAGACATCAAGTCTATTGCGTAGTCACAGAGATTAGGATCATGGAGTTTCAGTGACTTTCCCAAGGTTACTGAGCTGGTAAAGGATGGAGATCAGATTCAGACTCATGACTGAAAAAAAACTTACATGGTTTTTTATAGTACCACACTGCACGTACTGAAAGGACAAGATCAGCAGTTCCTCTCTTTGTTTCTCTTACTTTCCTTTTTTATTTCCTCCTCTGTCTTTCTTGGTTTTCTCTTCCTTCTTTGTGTTTCATCTCCTACCCTCACTCTTGATGATAGCTGGGTGGCATAGAGGTCATGCTTATTGACACTGGTTCATACTTCTCACTGCACATCATTTTCCAATAAAGTCAAATTCCCATCTAGGGGAAAAGCTTTCAATGTAAAGTTAGAAGCCTACATTTTATGTCCCTGACCATCAAATTACAAGCATCATTAGCTTTCTTCTATTCTCTCTTTATCTTTTTAATATATATTTGGAGTTATTTATTGCTTAAGACATCAGTTTGTTGAATGACACTTCCGGTCATTGCCTCCAAAATATATAGGATTGTTATGGTACTATATGCTTCAGGCAGTATTAAATTGCCAAAGGAAGATTAACTCTTTTCCTGCAGTTTAATTCTACAGAAAATTTCCATTATATTCATATGTGTTGTTTCTACTCATGATTCATACGTGGTGGCTGGAAGCATGAGGTCTGTCTTTCATTTGCCCCTAGTGTTCAGGAGAGTATCTCATTGTGATGGCATGAAATGCAAGGTTAATATTACTCAACAGGTCACATACACCATTTGCTGTCCACCACGAAGAAATACAATTAAGATTTTAAGCAAATAGACTGTCAGAAAGGAATGCATATTGCTCTTAAAGGCACAACTTCAGTATCATTGAAGACTCCAAATGGCTGCAATCCCCACTAACAACATTGTTTATTTCAGAGACTGGTAGTTTTTTAAACAGCTGATGAAGCGCAAATGTAGGTCAGTGTTGGGAAATTATGCTAAGAAATTCTCCATACCTCAGAACTGGGCCATGCCTTGAGGTCAGCACAAACATAATCACACCAATGTCTCAATAATCACGCCTAGCTCACTCTTAGCCAGACCTGCCCAACTCATTTAAGCAGCCACATCCAACTTTATACAGACAAAGTGAAATCTACAAATTCTTCTAACTCTGACATGCTCACTTTGTTAACAGATGATGAAAGGGAGTCAGAGTGTAAGTTAAAATAGTCAAAATTAGGAGAGTGTTTCAGTTATCCGATAGAGTGTAACAAACCACTCCCAAACTTAATTGCTTAAAGTAACTGCCATATTCATTTTGCTTACTAATCTGCAATTTGGAAGAGCTGGAAAGAAGGGGGCAGCCCATCTCTGGTTCACTTGGCATTTGCTCAGCCACTCAAAATAATGATGGCATCCTATGAAAAATATCTGCAGAACCTGTAATGGAGAATGAGTTATTAAGTGCTATTTGGACATCTAACAACAGAAATGCCTTTGGACTCTTCCCTGAGATGGAATGTCTATAGCCTTAAATTAGAGAGAGCCTGCACTTAATCCTTGAGAGGGTAGCGGTTCTTTTGACAGTCTATGGGCCCCTTCTTCCGAAGGGCTAATTCTTTCTCTTATCTAAAGAATGATAAATCTAAAAAAACGCATACAAACTGTGGAGAACCACTAAATTATTTAATTTTGTGTTTAAAGCACCTTTTAAATAAAATGTACATGGTTTAAAATTATCTAGTTCTAATCAATTTTGCTGACAGAAACTCCACACAATAGGCACAATAATCTTTGGGAAAATAGTATACACCTGTGTGTGTTCGTGTGTGTGTGTGTGTGTGTGTTTATATATATGTATACACATTTACATATTTATATGTGTGTACTTTATATTCATAGTTATATAGAAAAATTATTTATGCATACCAGGATCATAAACAACAATTTTTATACAATAAACTTTTTCTAAAACATTTTTCTTTCTACATTGTGTGTGTGTGTATGTGACATGTGTGTATGTGTGTGTGGTGGGGGTGCATATAACACATATCAGCTGGGTTAATAAAAATCTCTGAGGTCTTTGCTTACATTACCTGGAGTAGTGTTATTGTGCCTTAGGTTGGAGGATAATAAAGAAGTCATTTACCCCGTAATGTGCACCAAAGTATCTCTTATGATGTCTTTAACTGAGAAGCCAAGCAGATCCAGAAAAAGTTTACTCCTGTTTTGATATCCAAGCTTCCTTTAGTGCATACCAGGATCTCCATACGAACTATGGAGAACCACTAAATTATTTAAATTTGCGTTTAAATCACCTTTTTATCTTAATAAAATGTACACAGTTTAGAATTATCTAGTTCTAATCAATTTTGTTGACAGAAACTCCACACAATAGGCAGAATAACCTCTGGAAAATAGTACGTGTATGTGTGTGTGAGTGTGTGTGTGTGTGCACACTCTTTCTTGAGCATAGAAACATTCTAAAACTCCCATGCTACCTTTCAGGAATAAAAAACATTTCCGAGCTTTCTCAGATCCTAAATGCTCAGTATTACAGACATTATTTCTTAGGAGGACTGTTTACTTCTCACACTTGTTTAGCTTTGTCCTTTGCTACCCCGCTAGCTTTTCTGGGGGGACTTTGTTTCCTTTCTGGCCTGATTAGTTGTGAATGGAACATTGGGATTGTTTGTGCTTAGGATTTACTGATACCTATAGTATAATCACTTTTTCTTTGATTCCACTTCTAGTAACTGTTAAACTCTGAGGGAAGTTTTATTCTCAGTACATCCACCTAAATCTTTTGACTAAGTCATAAATACCTCCTCTCTCCTAAGGAATTAGATGTTGAATTATCAAAAAATTATCAAATAAAACACTAGAATCAGGTGTCTCCTGTGTCTACTGTAACAGCCCATCCCTGAGGTAGTAGAAACAATGGACAGGGCTCAATATAATTTAAGATATTGGAATATTAGAAAGGA